CCAATCAAAATCTAGCTGCCTTACTTCCCCTCCCTGATAAAGAATAATTCTGATATTGTTCAAAAGCTCTTAAGCTCTAACTACCACCCAGTCCTGGTGTAACTGATACTATCCTGCACAACCCTGATATATTACCATTTGATGATGACTCATAACTTAAAAAGAATCAAGATATACTTTGTACTAAACATGTTGTAACTTCTGAAATATTGTTTTGGAATCTTTTGCAATCACCATCCCATTCTTGCTAAAGAATTAAGGATTAAAGTCCATACTGTCTATGGATAAGGATTTAGTACTGCTTGAGATTTCAGCATTGATTGTGCAATCAGGAGTGTTCTGGGGCAGCTGCCTGGCTCATTTGGTAGAATATCAGCTCTTGAACTCAAGAGTTGTGAGTCTGATCAAGCCCCAAATTAGGCATGGAGCCTACTTTAAAAAAAAAAAGTTTTCTAACCTCCTTAGGCAATGCAAACAAAAACTGAAATATTTTCCTATTGACAACACCTAAAGAAAGTTTCCATTATTAAAGTTCACACTAAAGTTAACACCATAAACCTTACTATCATACAAAGAGCCCTTTCCAGCATTACCAGCATAATGCTATAATACCATAAAGGCTATTGTTCAGATTTCTATATAAGAAGGACTCTCTCAAATGTAACACTGCCCTCACCGCAGGTGAGAGGGTGGGTAAGGGGAAAGGCATTTGCTTTGTAAAGGCTGTTTTGTACCGCTTGGTAATTCCAAAACTACTTCCAGGCTGCTATTATTTGAACTGAAGAAAATATAATAATAACCCAAATTACAAAGACAAAATTGGTTTAAACTGTACAAAAATATTAGTCAAAGGAATTTTTACCCAGGAGGCTCAACAAGTGGTAAAATTTTACTTATTTTAATTATAATCTAGAAAACAAGAAGATCATTTGAACATTAACAAATGGATTTTTTTAATCAAGTCTTAATTTAAATTCTAGTTAATTAACATATATGGTAAAATTGGTTTCAGAAGTAGAATTTAGTGATTCATCACAAGTGTCCTCCTTAATACCCACCACCCATTTAATTTAGCTATCCAAATTATAACCCTTTAAGTACTTTTATCTTTAAGATTTTATTTATTTATTTGAGAGAGAGAGAGAGAGAAACCAAAGAGAACAAGAGAGAGAGTGCACCAATGGGAGGGAGGAACAGAGGAAGTGGGAGAAGCAGGCTCCCCACTGAGCAGGGAGCCTGACATGGGGCTTGATCCCAGAACCTTGAGATCATGACCTGAGCCGAAGACAGATGCTTAAGTGACTGAGCCACCCAGGCGCCCCAACCCTTTAAGTACTTTTAAATAATAGTTGTGAACTTTCATGCTTAGACTGAAACTTTCCTTAGTTCTAAGTTTTATACCAAGGCCTAATGACACTCAATTTACTTTTTTTTAATGTTCTGTTAGTCACCATACAGTACATCATTAGTTTTTGATATAGTGTCCCATGATTCATTGTTTGCGTATAACACCCAGTGCTCCATGCAACCCGTGCCCTCCTTAATACCCAACACCGGTCTAACCCACCCCCACAATTTACATTTTTAAAAATCTCCATAAACTCTCATATGAAGTTGTTATAGAAAGACCCCATGAGGCTGGGCTTGACTCATCCTCTAACAGATTCCACCCATAGTATGTTGTAATTGTTACATTAAAAAAAAAAAAAAATCTCATACACATAGTCTGTATGCCCAACCTAAAAGCTATTTTTCTGAAAGGCTTTTCATCAGACATTTTTGTGCCTCCCTCACCCCGGCCACCCACATGATATACAACTAGGACACTAGATTAGAAGAGATACCAATAAAAGTCAGCCTTGGAACCACACTGGAAGTGACCATTTCAGGTACTTTTAACCTCACACAGAGTTCTCAAGCTGCAGGCCCACAGCCATGGACACATGCTACCCAGGGTCATGTAGGGATATCCAGACCCACTGCAGATGGACCCTGACATCCAGCTATAAGGACTCTGGAGAACAGACAACTTTCCTAAACAGACATCTACTGCCCAAGATTCTCTGGATCAAGAGCACTGGGTGCAGGGCTACCTTCTCCGAAGATTCTCACCCCCGATCTGACTACTGGCTTGTACTTAACTTCCATCTCATTTTGTTCATAGTCTGTCTGAAAATTCTGCCAGGATCTGAATTCTCCGTGGGCTGGTTTCCGTTTGATCTGTGCTGACAAGTCTTGTTCGGGGTGTTTCCTATATGTATTATGATTTTTTGCTGGAAGGTCACATTCATTAGAACTTTGTGGGAATTTTCGAGGCTTGTTTTGGAGAAACCTTCTTCCAGAGAAAATTTGTTTACTTCCTACCAGGGACCTGGGACACCACCAATCCAGGTAAATGTTAAATTAGCAGCATGTAGCCTTTTTATAAACATGCGGATAGTATGAACTCAGGCCACAAACTGGCGTAAGGACTGGCCCTTAGCCACATGCTCTCAGAGATGTTCTTTTCTCCAATCAGAACCACGGCAAGTCAGACAAGTTTCTCCTCTCTCTGCTTTTGAAGGTAAAAACTATTTTTCTAACTCACTCTCCTTTGAGGGTAAAACTCTTCAGGGTTCCTCGTTTTAGGGAGTTTCCAATTAAACTCCAATTTGAGCCCAGAGCTTTGCTCCTCACCTCTATGTTACCTTCTTAAATCTAGAGCTCTAGGCCACCTGAGATGAGAAAATGATCTCAGGGCAAATGATTTACCTCCTTATGCGTGCATATTTTGTTCTGGCTTGAGAGCATTTCCTGGAGCAAGATGACTCATGTTTTAAAAGGTGCTTTGGATTTAACATTCCTAGATGCATTGCAGCAAAATAATTTCTAAAAGTCTGTCATATTGCCAAAAATAGAAATCTTTTTTTTTCAATTTTTTTTTAAATTTTATTTATTTGACAGACAGAGACCACAAGTAGGCAGAGAGGCAGGCAGGGCGGGGGGGAGTAGGCTCCCTGCCAAGCAGAGAGCCCAATGCGGGGCTCGATCCCAGGACCCTGGGATCATGACCCGAGCTGAAGGCAGAGGCTTTAACCCACTGAGCCACCCAGGTGCCCCCCAAAATAGAAATCTTAAAATTCTATCTCTTCCTGGATATCTTATAAATTCAAAGCTTTCGTAGTGACCCATCCCTGCACTGTCATATCTAATTTTCCTCCAAAAATTAATGACCACTTCCCATCCATCTATTCACAAGAAATTGAACACATGCTGCCTCCTCTCTTGATCTTTCACAGCCCAGTATAGCTCTTCTTGATTCTAAGTTCTAAACATCTCTTAAATTTGTTTTCTTTTTCATTCTGGCTACTACTGCCTTTCATCATCTTTTCTGTGTTGCTGAAATAATCTAACATTTCCATGCTTACCTCCCTCAAATGCATACTTGACACAGCTGCCAGCATAAACTATTTAAAATAAACATGCCCAGGGGCACCTGGGTGGCTCAGTGGGTTAAAGCCTCTGCCTTCGGCTGGGGTCATGACCCCGGGATCGAGCCCCGAATCGGGCTCTCTGCTCAGCGGGGAGCCTGCTTCCCCTCCTCTCTCTGCCTGCCTCTCTGCCTACTTGTGATCCCTCTCTATCAAATAAATAAATAAAATCTTTAATAAATAAATAAATGAAATAAAATAAACATAACCATGTCATTTGCACACTTAACCATCTTCAGTAACTCCCCACTGCCATCAAGACCGTTTCAGTTACTTACCATGGCTTGGAAGGTCCTTTATAATCAGTCCCCCCTGTGCCGTAGTCACACCAATTGATGCGCCCTCTTCTGCTTCCTTGGCCACCTGTCAGCTCCTTTATCTTTCAGATACCAGGTCAAGACTCCTCCAGGAAACTTGGAAGCAAATTCTAACTGCACCTCTCATTAGATCACTGCTGTGCTGACCTATTACAGCACTTACCAGTGTACTGCCACATACAGTATATAACTTAGCTGTTGTCCCAATGGGACCATGAATTCCTTTCAAGGGCAGAGGACTTCTCTCTTTACCCACAGTACCTGTCACAGTGCCAATTACATGAGGTTCCTAGTATCTGTCAGATGAAAGAATGTTTTTTCATTTCTACACCTTTAAAGTTGAGTCCTACTTTCTGCTGCCGCTAGAGTTCAGGCCCCTTCTTCCTTTATCCTCCTCCATGTCCTTCTGCTCTAGGTTACCAACCTTCCTCACGTCACCTAAGTCCTCTCTAAAGCAAGTTCTAATCATGTGTTGCTTAGCCTCAGAAACCTACTGCTGTTAGTGCCCGCCTCATTTCCCCTGCTGTCTCAGCAGCTCATAGCAATCCAGTGATTTCCTACAGTGACAGCTCCGCACCGCCCTTGTTACAAAAACAACTGGGACCTGGAGCAGGCAGTACCCAACCAGCCTCCATTCAAACTTCTCAGTCCCCACCTAAAGAAGCTTACCAGCATTAGACAGCTTTCCAGAACCAACTGTGGTCTGATGGTGCCGGTGATAGCTACAGGATCCCCCTATTACCCAGTCCCTGCCCTCCCCATTTCAACTACATGGAAAACTCCACTTTACAGCAGTGATGTCCTGGGAGCTGGGCGGGGGGGGCGGGGGGAGCGATTCAAGGGGGGATCATTGTCTATTATAGAGAACTTTAAGCCAGTAATAAAACTGACGAAAGGTCAGTCTGCTTTTTATCTTCGTCATGAGCCAACAACCCTAAACAATGTCAGTTTTACTACTATTTTATTAGTAATTTTATTACATACGTTATCGTATTTTTCCCTGCCAAGGCACACTGGCCCACCACCACCACTCCTGGGTGAGCCACTGCTATTCCGGCATCACCCCCTTTGGGAGCCGTTAACCACCCCGAAATAGAAATAATCACCTTTTCCTGAACACTTAATATCCATCTGAGTCTCCGACAAGGCCATAAGCACATTAAGGGGAGCTTATCTTTAGCCCCTACTACAGACATTCATGAACACACTTAACCCTCCTAGCCAGCTCCCCTTCAACAGTTTGCCTCAGCTGCCCAGTAAGGTCTTCTGTGAGGGGAACACGCCAAGTCCCAGTTCCTCTACGCTGCTAGGAGAAACAAACCATCATGCCTTACACTCACCTTCAGATCAAACTGACTGCATCCAGAATGTAATTTAAATTCCAAAGGCTGGCATTTACAGAACATCATAATCTGGACCGCCTAATTCCTACTACAGTTGACCCTTGAACAATGTAGGGGTTAGGGGAACTGACACCTCACACAGTCAAAAATCGATGTGATGCCCCAAAAACTGAACTACTAATAGCCTACTAGTGATGGAAAGCCCTACTGATAACATAATTAACATATATTTTTGTTATATGATTTATACATTATATTCTTAAATTAAGCTAGAAAAAAAAATTAAGAAAATCACAAAGAAAAAAAGTACATTTATAGTACTGTACTGACAAAAAAAAAATCCACATTTATAAGTGGACCAGAGCAACTGTGTTGCTCAAGGGTCAAATGTATTTAATCTGTATACTCTTCTCATACCAAACTATTCATACTCAGTATATTTTTGCCTATTACATGTAAGTATTCTTTGTATTATGGTACTTTGTAAATTACCTAACTGCTGAGTCCTAGAAAGAAGTTTAAACAGTCCTGTTTTATTGGTGTATATGCAACAGACACCAAGTTCTCCTGAATTAAAACTAGGGACAGTTAATACAGAAAAGAGTAGAATACATTTTTATTATATAGAATTTTATTTAAAAAAAAAACTTTATTCTCATAGAATACATTTTCACATTAGAGATTCCTACAGTGGGAAAATAACAATTTATTACTTACAGTTTTATTTTTGTAGACAGATTATTTTAGGACAAGTAAAATAAACACATTTGAGGATTAATTCTTGGTTTAGAATCTACATTACTTTGATACATCTATGAGGGGACCTCTTCCCTGCATGGAACTTCTCTATACTCAGAAGCTCTCCAGGCTCTTCTTTCCAGGATTTAGAAATTAATAATGTAAAATATCAGTATTTCCTAATTTTAAAGTTTCCCTTGGCCATGTAACCGTCAATAACCGGTACTGACTGAACAGAGAGGGAAATTTTCAAAAATTAAACACTAATTTTCTGCAAAGTACTTACGAATTAACAGGCTTTCCCTTTCTCCATCATTCCAGGACAAAAGACAAAAGATCAGGTATTGATAGTAATAAAGCTGAATTCCCTGTAAGAATCTGATATGCTAACAGGCAAAAGCTCATACATAATGGTCAGTTATGCTATGAGTCTTGTGAGAAGCTGGATGACAACCCCACAAATTTAGAACACGAAACCCAGTCTCCAAATCTCTTGAATACAATTCCTCTTCAACCTTTTCATCAAAGACTAGTTTCTACAAATAACCAGGTGATCAGAAGAGGTGTGTCTCACCAATGGACTTATCTGTTATTTCCTCCTTATTGTGAGCTGAATGGCATGACAGAGCAGAGGCAAAGAGGTGTACAATCAATTCTCAAGGTATGAAGTCAAAAAGGTCAGAGCTTCCACAGCATGGCAACAGCTTTGCAGATGCCCACGTCATGATAGTTGAAAGAACAAAGCCCAGCAAAGGTTAAAGCCGAGAGTGCCAAAACGCCTGCCTTGACAGCTTTCTGCAGAGCATCCCCTCGAACGTAGTCAGTAACCACTTGTCCAAGGCCCCTAAAAAAAAAACGTAACAGTGCAAAAGAAAAATCACAAGTCAGAAGACTATATCGCTAACCTGACTGCAAAAAACTGTCAGGTTCAACATACAACTCATGGTAACAGGAATCATAAACTAAATGAAGGAACCAAGAGTCTCCTAATAATACAATAAAGACATCTCTATTCTTTAGATTTAATTTTCCAGAGTTATTTGTATCAAAGATAGCAGTTAATTACCACTCTATTTACAAAATCTTGGGGTTTGGGTTTTTTGTTTTTTTTAACTAAAACAAACGCTCAAGGGGCACCTGGCTGGCTCAGTCAGTGCAGCATGTAACTCCTGAGTTCAGGCTCATGAGTCTGAGCCCCAGATTGGGTGTAGAGATTACTAAAAAAAATAAATAAACTTTGAAACAAATGCTCTACAGAGTCATTAATTCAAAAAAAAATTTATGAAGCAGATATTGTGTATGAAAACCTGTTACAGATGTTGAAAGAACAGCAAAGACAGCATCTCTGCCCCTATGGAACAGATTCTAGTGAAGGAGGGGGAAAAAAGGTTATGTTTTAAGTAGAGAGTAATCTAAGTAAGTAGTGACCTTATTTTATTATTAATAACAGCTTTATTGAGATGTAATTCACACGCCATGGAATTAACCCTTTTAAGTACTCTCTAAAGCCAATGTGGGGCTCAAAATCACAACCCTGAGATCAGGAGTCACACACTCCTCTGACTGAGCCAGCCAGTTGCCCGCAATTAACCCTTTCAAGTGGCTTTTAGTATAAGCATGAAGTTGCACAACATCATCACTATTTAGTTCTAGAACATTTCATCACTCCAAAAGAAACCCCCTATCCATTAGTCCCTTACTCAACTAGTTTTCTGTCCCTACGGACTTGCCTACTCTACATTTTAGAGAAATCATACAATATGTGGCCTTTTGTGTCAAGTTTCTTTCATTTCACATCTTCAAGGTTCACCTATGTTGTGGCAGGTATCAGTACTTCAACCTTTTGTGTGGCCAAATAATATTCCTTTGTAAGAAGCTATTCATCAGCTGATAGACATTTGGATTGTTTCTACTTTTTGGTTATTATAACTATTCATCAGGAGATAGACATCTGGATTGTTTTCACTTTCTGGCTATTATAAACACTATGAATATTACTATGCAAATTCTCGTGTGAAGACATATATGTTCGACTTTGAGGGGTATACACCTAAAAGTGGAATCACTGAGTCATACGTACCTCTAACTTTTTGTTAGAACTGCCTAATTTTTCCAAAGTGGCTGTAACTTCTTATATTCCCACAAGAGACATATGAGGACTCCAACTTCTCAATATCCTTGAAACATGTATTATTGTCCCTATTTTTGATGACAGCCATCCTAGTGAGTGTTAAGTAGTATCTCATTGTGGTTTGGATTTGGGGTTTTTTTGTTTGTTTTAGGGAGGGAAGGCGAGACACTCTTAAGTAGGTTCCATGCCCAGCGCAGAGCCCGACTCAGGGCTCAACCCCACAACCCCAAGATCATGACCTGAGCCCAAATCAAGAGTTGGATGTTTAACCAAATGCGCTATCTAGGCACCCACTGATTTGCATTTCTATAATAACAAATGACGTTGTGCATTTTTTCATGTGCTTATGAGCCATTTGTAAATCTTTAGATAAATGTAATTTTACCTTTAAAAAGGTCACTGGCTATAGTATGGTAAATGGACAGTGCAGGAAGAAGGGAGGGGTGCAAAAACAGAAACAGAAAACCACTCAGGAGGCAAATAAAGTGCCTTGGCAAGTACTGGCTTAACCTAGGCTGGTGAGAGGGGAGATGGTGTGAAGCGACAACTGAGGCAAGCTAACAGAGCTGATGGACTAGATGTGAGATAAGACAAAAAGAAGTATCTAGAATAACTCTGAGGATTTTGGGCTTGAGCAACTAGATTTTACTGAGTTAGGGAAGAACAGGAAAGGAGGTGGCCTTCAGGAAAAATCAAGTGAGATATGGGGGAAAGACAGATTCTGGGCCATGATAAATTTGGGAGGACTATCAGACATCCAAGTGGATTGTGTTAGTTACATAAATGGAAATACAGGTCTGTAGATCAGGGAAAGAGGTCAGATCTGAGCTCACCTCAGGAAATGAAGGGAAATGAAGAAAGCGAGACTGAGCCCAGGCAGAGCTTTATTATTCAGAGGTCAGACAAGAGGAGGAGCAGGGATCAGGGACTGAGAAGGTACAGCTAGTGGGGCAGAGGAAAGTAGCATCCAGGAAGTCAAATGGAAATTATTTAAGGAAGGAATCGTCAATTAAGTTGAATGCTGCTAAGAGTTCAATTAACAGGAGGATGGAGGACAGCTGGATTTGGAAAAATAAAGGTTTTTGGGGGGACTTTAGTAAAAATGACTTCAGTTATGTAGTTGGGATGAAAGTCCAATTAATGTGGGTTAAGAGAGAATGGATGCTGAGGAATTATAGAAAATTACAGACAACTTTTTCAAGCCATGATGCGTGTGTGTGTGTGTGTGTGTGTGTATGTGTGTGGCAGAGAGAGAGAGAGAGAGAGAGAGGGGGGGGGGGGGGGGGGGCGAGCAAAGGGAGAATTAGTAAGGTAAGTGGAGGAGTATAAAATAAATGAAAAATAACAATACATTACTTTAGAATTACCTCTTATTCTGACTTTTCATTGATTTAGATGAATCTCCTGCCAAGAACTATATTAGAGAAATCTCACTATACTTGTGATCTACATATGCAACAGGAATCCTTTACTTTGAAAGGTCTACCTGGTTAAAGGGTAATTCCCCAAGCCACCCTAGAAAAGTAGGTAAGCAAAAGCCCCTTTAACACTAGCTACAAAATCATTCTGACAAGTCACTTAACCTCCCTGGGGTTCAGTTTCCACACCTGTAAAGTAACAGTGTTGGTTAAGACATTCCCATGTCCTTTCAGCTCTAGCAATACAAAAATGCTTCCCTCACCCACAATATCATAACGTCCTTGTAAAACAACATAAAGTGAATCATTGAAAGAACAACAGTTACTCACAAACTTCTCAGAAGGTTCGTTAACTTAGAAAATCTAGCAAACTACACTGGATAAAATAAACAGAAACTAGAAATTCATTCATTCAATAAATATTTACTTAGTGCTATGTGTCAGGTATTGCTCTAGGGACTAACGACACATAAGCAAACAAAAAGTCAAAAATCTTCTTTGAGGGGCGCCTGGGTGGCTCAGTGGGTTAAAGCCTCTGCCTTCGGCTCAGGTCATGATCTCAGGGTCCTGGGATCGAGCCCCGCATCGGGCTCTCTGCTCAGCAGGGAGCCTGCTTCCTCCTCTCTCTCTGCCTGCCTCTCTGCCTGTGATCTCTGTCTGTCAAATAAATAAATAAAATCTTTAAAAAAAAAAAAAATCTCTTCTTTGAGAAAGGGCAAGACTGAACTGTAGTGTCTCAGGACAAGTGGGTGATAAAACTATGATGAAATGCAAAGAACTGATTAGTATAAAAATCAGGATAATGGTTCCTGGTAGGAGGACGCTGAGCAGTTATGACTGAGGCAGAACACAAGGAAGAAGCTTCTGCAGTTCTAGCTCTTGACCTGGGCAGTGTTATCCTTGTAATAATTTATTAAGCCATGGATTTCAGTCTCGGGCTTCTTTGTATCTGTGCTTTCATTCTAACGAGGGGAGACAAGGAGTATAGAGAATAATAAATACATTATAAAGTATATCAGAAGGTAATAAACAATACTGAGAAAAAGAAAATCGGGGAGAGAGATAAGGAATGCTGGGAAGGACACCACAATTGCAATAAGTGGTTACAGAAGGCTTCATTGAGAAGGTGACATTTCAGATGTGAAGGAAATCAGGAACAAGCCAAGCGTGTAATTAGAAAAAGAGGGTGTTGGCCAGAAGCAAGAGTAAAGGTAAAGTTCTGAGGCCTGGCGTGTCCCTGGCATGTCTAAGAATAATCAAAGCCTGTGAAAATGTGGAAGAGAGTAGCTGGAGATGAGGGAAGAAACAGGCCAAATTATGTTGGGTCTGTAGACCAATGTAAGAATTCTTAGTTTGAGGGAGGTTAAGAGACTACAAAATATTTTGAGGAGGATGTTTGACCTGACTTCATACGTTAACAGGATCCCTGGGGCTGCTGCGTCGGGAACAGACAGAAGGAGGACCAGTTAGGGCACTACTATGGGAATCAAAGATGATGACCAGGTTTGGGGCATGAACAGTTAGAAGAATGGAAATGCCATTAACTCAGATGAGCCAGAGTGCTGGAGGAGGAGATCTGGGGGAGAGCAAGAACTTAGTTTTATAGCACATTATATTCAAAACGCCTATTAGCTACGGAAGTGAAGACACTCAATAGGCAGGTGGACACATAAATCGGGCATATAAATAACTTACATGTGTTTTAAAGTTATCTACAGGTCTGAGTATCTCAACTTCTTCATATGCAGTAATGAGACAAGCTCACAGCTAATGAACTGAGCAGACAACACTGACACTGAAGGAACTACTGTACTTGCCAGTGACTGTGGAGAGTGAGGGCCGCGGCCAGGGAGTAGTCCATCGCAGAGCCAGGATTCAAATAAGCAGCTGGAATTAGGCCCAGGAGCAAAACACTGACAACCCTCTCACCAGTCCAGTGGAGAGATGCAGCCTTAGAACCAGCTGCGGAAAGGAGGAACCAGACTTTTAAGAGTTGAAACGGAGAATCACACATCTCTCATATTCAATATTTGCTACAAAATAAACCCAGCTGACAGGACAGCAAACAGCATGCATTTAAGACTTAGCTCTGAGCATAAAGAGAACAAGATAAAGAAGGTACTTGAGAAAGATGCTACCTCCCTTCTTTGAAATTCTTTAATGCAGGGTGCCTTGGTGCCTACATAGACTGATGAGAAGACTGACCCACCTTGTCGACAGGCAAAAAGATGAATGAAGTACTTTGCAGAATCACCAATCTCGAACTTTAGTACAATGGACAGATACCTTATGAATATATGTTAATACCACCTGAGAAATTTCTTTACAAAATTACTTGAATTTATACCTCTAATCTTTAGAATTAGAAGTAAGGTAATAATAAAAATCCTTCGAAAGCAAAATTAAGCCAGCCAATTCGAAAAATTCTGATACAAACTTTTAGGATTATGGTCCTTCTTCTGTCCCATTACTTATGAAGAGCCCAAAACAAATATGGAACAAGAGAACTGCTTTTAAATAAGTGAAAAACAAAATGGGCATTAAACATTTCTTGGGGAGCCTCTATCCTTTTTTGGTTACAGACCCCTTTGGGACTCCAATGGAAGGATGGAGATAATTCTCCAGAAAAATGCACATGGACACACATAGTAAAAACTGTGTTTACGACTTCTGGGGCTTTCCTTCAGTGCACATACCCCAAAGTAATTTACCCCACTCTGCTAAATTTAACTGAACTTAGCAAAGGAATGGAGAAAGAAACAAAAGCTTTTCAAAAATAAAATAATTCTAAAAAGCAGAAAAACTATACTTGCCTAATTTCTCATAACTCAGATGCAACTAAATGTAAGTTGTTGACTCAAGCATCAAGGTAAGTCTTTATCTCTGCAAAATACAGATCTCTCCAGAGTTTAAAACTGGAAATAAGAGTTAACTCATTATTCACCTACAGATTTGCTATAATTCTGACCCCCAAAAATGCTATGTAATTTTAATATTGACCTAAATAAAAATAAGCCAGTCAATTACAGCTACAAATATGTATGACTTTTTAAATTATCTACTATTCCAAAATATTTGTATCTGGGTCCTCTCCATCAGCTAAAAAGTAAGATTGCCTATATTGTACAGACTCTTCCTACAGAGCTACTTTCTTTAAAAAAAAAAAAAAATTGAAATTTTAATAGACTTAGATCAGAAGGTTCTCTATGAGTATAAATGGCATCATTCAACCAGGCTGGTATTGTCTAATAAAGGTGCAGGCTAGGGAGGTCTTCATCTGACAGAGCTGGACTTAAGAGTTCTGTTCCACAGATAGGAAATCCTGCCAAAGGCTGAAAATTTGCCCAGATGAAGAGGGAGAGAGCCCAAAAAGCAACAGCAATGGGGGAAAAAAAAAAAAAAAAAAAAAAACCATACAATAGTGGTTGGGTGATAGGTGAATATGCTGTGTTCTACACCATCCTGGGGCAGGCTGGTCCTGAAGAAATGCTGAGACCTGAGCAGGTCTGACCACGGGGATTCGGACAAACAGAGCTGAGGAAAGAGACATTAGGGAGGTCATAAACACTTCTCCTTTAACAGGCCTTTCCTTTTTTTTTTTTTTTTTAATTAACATATAATGTATTATTACTCCCAGGGGTACAGGTCTGTGAATCGTCAGGCTTACACACTTCACAGCACTCACCATAGCACATACCCTCCCCAGTGTCCATAACCCATCAACCCTCTCCATACCCACTTCCCCCCAGCAACCCTCAGTTTGTTTTGTGAGATCAAGAGTCTCCTATGGTTTGTCTCCCTCCCGATCCCATCTTGTTTCATTTTTTCCTTCCCTACCCCCCAAACCCCCCACTTTGCCTCTCAAATTCCTCATATCAGGGAGATCATATTGATAATTGTCTTTCTCTGATTGACTTAGTTAGCTCAGCATAATAACCTCTAGTTCCATCCATGTCGTTGCAAATGGCAAGACTTCTTTTGATGGCTGCATAGTTTCTATATATATATATATCTCTCACATCTTCTTTATCCATTCATCTTAACAGGCCTTTCTGATAACCATAAGCAAACTACTAGAGCCCAAATAGGGGATGACATTTCATCTGCAAAATGAAGATAGTATCTCCCTGGGGAGCCATGAGGTCACACTAAGTTGCCCCTCAAAGATTAAAAAATCAATGAACCACTTAAGTAAAAGGACTACACTTTTACTAATTTTATAAAGTATATTAAAGGGCGCCTGGGTGGCTCAGTGGGTTAAAGCCCCTGCCTTCGGCTCGGGTCATGATCCCGGGGTCCTGGGATCGAGCTGCATCAGGCTCTTTGCTCAGCAGGGAGCCTGCTTCCCTTCCTCTCTGCCTGCCTTCCTGCCTACTTGTGACCTCTGTCTGTCAAATAAATAAATAAAAATTTATTTAAAAAGAAAGTATACTATAGCTCCTTCCTCTTTCCATGTGTTCATCTATTCATCCAACAAACATTCACTACATGTTAGAGTATGCTCTAGACTGGAGCAGGAGATAAAAAGACAGACTTTGTCCTCAAGGAATTCAGTCTAGGTTGGAAAGAACATCTATTACCATCTTCCTTTTCAAGATCAGTTTCTCGACATGTACTTTTTGGGGGGAGCGGGGAGGGCAGAGGGAGGACAGAAAGAATCTTAAACAGGTTTCACACCCAGCAAAGGCCCAACATGGGGCTGGATCTCATAACCCTGAGATCATGACTCAAGCCAAAATCAAGAGTTGGACACTTAGATGACTGAGCCACCCGGATACCCCTCTTGAACTCATCCTTTTCCGTCCCCCTTTAGATTCTATCTCTTAGTTAAAAAATAGACCTCAGTTCACACAACTTCACCACTTACTAGCTGTGAAGTAATGAGCAATTAAGTTAAACAGGCTCTCTAAGCCTCAATGTCCTCATCTGCAAGATGAAAAACTTACTTCATAATACTGTTGAAAATTAAAATACCCAAGGTGCTCACCATAATTCCCAAAATGTCATAAATACTCAATAGAAGGTAACTTCTCTCCTGTGTCTTTCACCTTTCCTTCCTTCCTGTTGGCCATTTCCCACTCACTGATGTAATTTATGTGACCCTTCCCTTGACCCTGTGTCCTCTAATGCCATGCACTCTTTCCCTGCTCCCTTTCTTCTCTTTCCAACTATGCTTCTTTAAAGTGTTGTCTAAATTACCTCCACTTCCTCACTTCCCTATGATTCTTCAACTCTGAAACTCATTTTATCTGCACTACAACTGCTTTGTTAAGTTGCCAATGGTCTCCGTGTGGTCACATTCAACAATTACTGTTCAGTCTTCCATCTTATTGGGCCTTTCCTCTCTTCTTTTCTGATGAACTCCCTTCTAGTCCCCCCTTTGATCCTCTGACATTCTATATGAGTCTCCTCCTGCATCCATTCTTACATGTTTTCCCAACATTCTATCATCTGCCCACTGCTCTCCTCACATCCTCAGCCCACCCTTGGCCATTTTGACCACCCAGCTTATACTACCTGTAAGCTGATGACGCCTCATTCTGTGTCTGCAGCCCTTCTATGTCTCCAGTGTTTCAGAAGTTTAAGTGCCTGCTGGACCGCTCTCCTGAGATACCCTACATGGTCCTCAAACTCACCATGCCAAAAACTAAAACCATCCTTCAACTCACTCTTTCTAGCAAACCTGTCTTCCATTTGTATGTTCCCCACTTTATTTAATGACATCCCAGCTACTCTTTATCTAAAAATCTGAGTCATATAAAACCACCCCACACCCCCCAACTGTCAATCGCCAGCTCATATTGATATATCTCCTTAACATTTCCTGAGACAATCTGCTCTTTTTTATACCATTTCCCAAGTTCGGGACCTCACAGTCCTTGCCTGCACTACTACAAGAAAGTCCTATCTCATCTCCCTGACTTGTGTCTTAGCCCACTGCCATGTACCACAGTGTTACCCAAGGGGCCAATCAAAACTCAACTCTGTCAAATATTTCAATGATGCCCTTTACATCAGGTAAACCCATACTCCTTATCAAGGAAAGTTCTTCCTTGATTTGATTCCAGTTCACCTTTCCAGATTCAGCTCTCATTCCTCATCCTGAGCTTCATGCTCTAATCATATCTAGTTTCTCTTCTACCTCGCAGTTCCTACGCCTTCATCATCACTTTTGCTCATCCCAGTAGTTCCCTAACCCCTGTGGCCTTCCTTATCCCCAAGACACACACACTTCCTCCAGGAACCAAAACAGGGCAATTCTTTAAAAACACCAGCTAAATATGTTCCTCCTCTGGAGTGGCACAGCAATACATGCGCAGCACAAGACTTTTTGCTTTATGTTCGATTATGTTTACCTTTATGTTCGATTACCTTTACTTTATGTTCGATTATGTTCGATTGTGTTTCCCTATAAAAAGGAAAACTCTTCGAGAGCAGGAACTGTTACACAAATACGTAACCCATTCCTACCACGGCGCCTGGTTTAACACAAATGTCCAGTGCAATGATTACTGAAGTGATTTCCAGAACCCCCTCTCCACCAACTCCAGGGTAAATGGGCAAGGCCAGGCATTGAGGCTCAGAGCCTAACCCCACAATTTTCCGATGCGGAGTGGGCGCATTCTAAGGACAGTGAATGGGGAAAAATCACAAGAGAACAAAAAAAGAACTCTTAAGAATAGCCTCAGCAGAACTGTAACTTGCAGGAGCTCTTTTTCAGATTACCCTATCCCCGTGTCGGCCCGGAGCGGGGCAGATACGTGCTCGGGAGGACATCTGGGCGCGGAGACACGGTGGTTATCGCTGTAGACCCGGGCCAGATCCGCCAACCGGACGGTGGAGGGATTCCCAGCTCAAGAGGCCTCACCACCCCGCAAACAAATCCTCGCCGCACTCCCTTCCCCGGCTGGAGGTTGCCCTAAGAACCTCCCGCTGCCAGGACGCCTCACCTCGGCCTCCTTGGGCACCGCACAGGACACCCAGCCTCCAGATACTCGCCATAGCTCTCCTGAAGCCTCAAGGTCACCCAGCAACCCGGAAGCAGTCCCTCGACAACTTCCCACCCCGCTACGACTCAATAAAGAAGGAAAACGCTGGGTGAACCGGAAGTTGGGCGCCGACGCGCGCCCGCCGCACATGCGCGCACACGCTCGTCGGAAGGCCGCGGCTGGAGGCAGACGATGGCGGAGCTGGGTGAGGCGGACGAAGCCGAGTTGCAGCGCCTGGTGGCGGCGGAACAACAGAAGGCGCAGTTCACTGCCCAGGTGCGGGGTCAAGGACCAGGGGGAATAGACAGGAGGGTGAGGCACAGGTTGAGTTTTCAGACTTTTTACTCAGCCGGTGAAGTGACAGCCGCTAGGAAAAGACGAGCAGAGCTCTGCGACCTCAGCACGGGTGGACTGCCCTGTGCTCGCTCCTGCCGCGCCGGGTTCTTCACGAACAGGCTCCAGCCTCTGGAGACCAGTCGTACTCAGGCGCCCGCTGGGCAGACCCAGCGTGGGGAAAGAGAAAATGTAAAGCAGAGAAGAAAGGTTCGGGCGAGGCAAGGGCACCGGAGCCTGGTTTGGCGGCGAGCGCTCTGGGCTTGGCCTTCCTAATTAGGATCTGGGTTCTGATCCTGCCTCGCCCTTTACAGGCCGCGTGTGGGTTTTGGTTCTGCAGTCGTCTGCTGCCTCGCTGGACTGTAGAGGTCATACGCGATCATGTACTTGAAAACGACAAGGCAGTGGAACGTTCATGGAGAAGGGTGGGCTCTGAAGTAGTTTGGACTGTGGGTTAGAACAAGTGTTTGGGAGCCGTTTCGGCATGGCTCGAAACCCGGCGTGGACCCTGACTAGCACCACTAGCAGCGTGGCTAGTTGCTTCACCACGCCTCAGATGGAGATAGTCGTAAAGTACCGACTGACTGCTTAGCACCCAGTCTCAAAAGGAAGCCCTCAGTAAGTGGTCCCCACCACCGCCCCCGCCTTGTGTGGAGGCGGGGGGCGGTGTTCGCGGACCATTAAGTAGCAAAAACGGTTTCTGTACCTCTGTGTGCCTTTTTATGGAGAGTGGATCCATGACCTTCATTGGATTCACAAATGTGTCCATGACCCCAGAAACTTGAGAACTTAAGAACTCGTCTGTAAGGCATAGGTTTGGAATGACAGGAGAGCAGTTTGGGGAAAATTAATTGGTACCATACTTTCCCTGCTTACACTGGTGCAACTTGGAAATATAAAAGAAGATACTAACCCTGCCTGAAAATCTGGTCTGATTAAGGACTTAACACGATCGGAAAAAATAGACAGTGGCCTCCAAGGAGGTTAAAAACTAGGACTATTTTGAAGAATGGGAAAATTCTTTAGGTAGGGCATTCCAGGAATACTAAGTCACATTGAGTATGCTGTGCATACAATGTGAAGCTTAACAGGTTGGTGGTTAAATAACGGGCTACCCTGAGCAGCTAACAGAGGAATTGTGCATGAAGCACAGGGGGGACTTGATGGAAAGTTATTTTTAGTTACTAAAGAGGAGAAAAACAGAAACGGAGAGGATTAAGGATTACTGCAGTTTAAGAACAAGGATCTGGGCCATACTGATGACAAATTAGGAAGTGAGGAAGAGGAGAGCCCAGGATTTGTTGATTTAAAGAATGAGGTGAGGGGCACCTGGGTGGCTCAGTGGGTTAAGCCTCTGCCTTCGGCTCAGGTCATGATCTCGGGGTCCTGGGATTGAGTCCCGCATTGGGTTCTCTGCTACGAAGGGAGGTTGCTTCCTCCTCTCTTTCTCTCTGCCTGCCTCTCTGTCTACTTGTGATCTCTCTGTCAAATAAATAAATAAAACCTTAAAAAAAAAATGAGGTGAAAGAAAATGAGAAAAACAGGAAGGAAATAAAGTTGGCAGTTAGACCTATATGCAGACAGCAGTGATTACTAATTTTCTTTCCTCTTAGGTACATCACTTCATGGAGCTGTGCTGGGATAAATGTGTGGAGAAGCCAGGGAATCGCCTAGACTCTCGCACTGAAAATTGTCTCTCCAGCTGTGTGGACCGCTTCATTGACACTACTCTTGCCATCACCAGTCGGTTTGCCCAAATTGTACAGAAAGGAGGGCAGTAGGCCGTCCCCTGGGAGACTAACAGAAGCAAAGGACTTGTTAAGCAGATTGAAGGGCCAGTGGGGGAGGATCGTCAGCGTGTTGTCAAGTGAACTTGAGGCTGTTACCAAGCCTATTGGTGCTAAAAAGTAACAGATCAAATGTTCAAAGAGTGAAATTTATTTATTTGGAATTCAGAAATTCCATGTTTTATCACAATTACTCAATAAATGTGAATTCTCCAACTCTTTTTTTTTTTTTTCTTAATCCCATTTTAGGATTTATAATATAGAGATCTCAGATTGGCAGGAACACTAGAAATATGTTCCAAGACCAGTAGTGCAAATGAGAGATCTTGGGTTTTGAAGGGCCATCCTAAACCATATTTAAGGGGGCTAGAAGAACCATCAAAGACAGCCCAAGGTATAGAAGTGAAATTGGGGTTGAGAAAGGTGAAGAACAGAAAACAGGTTTATTGCTTATACATGACCAAGAAAAAGTAAACACAGCAAAAAACAAAACAGGCAAGATGTGTATTCTTGGGAAAGAAATAAGCCTGCTAGTATGGGAAGAAGGGAAGGTCAAGACTGAAGTAGAATCAACAACCTGGAGATGCCTTGTTCCACTGGCCCATCTTCCTGAGTCTGTGCTAGAATCATTACTTTTATAGCACAGAAACAATGCTTAAAAAAAAAAAAAAAAAAGTGCTGAAAACTCCTTCCAACAAAGATTTCACCTATTCCAGGAACAAAGTAATTTGTCTTTAGGTTAAGAGGTAGTAATTACAGACTGTTTTCCCCACCTGGGGCCCCTACTAATCCCAAAGGTAAAAATATACACCATGGAACATTGACAATTGAGTACCAAAGTATTAATATTTCAAGTAAATATCCCCAAAGGTAGCACCTGCATATAATCAAGGGATAGGGAACCTCTAGCCAACCATGTATTTTATGACCAAACATTTTATTAGACATCTGTTCTGTAAAGAGAACAAATTTAGTAGTTAGAACTGTAAAATATTACCACCTCATGGAATGTTGTTAGTTATATTCTATTGCTGGTGTCTTACACTGTCATGCTACCATGAAGTATTTCTGTATTATACATGGGGAAAGTAAGGCCAGGGAGGTTAACTTACCTTTTCCAGACCTCATAACTAATTAGAGGCAGAACCAAGACCAAAATTCTGAGTTTTCAAGCTTTCTACTCAGCCCATGAAATGACAACCAGGAAAAGCAGCATGTCACTTGATATTCTGTCATAATGAAAAAATTCACTTGTGTTCTGCCAGCCTTTTTTCAGTGCTATTTTGGTTTCTTAAGAATTAACAGTAGGGATCACAGTATATAGCAAAGGGAAATAATATGGTCTCTGCTTGGTGCTTTAATTGGATGGCAGACTGGGAGGGAAGAAGCGGGTACATCCCTGAGAAGCCTGTTTTATTTTGGAACTGATTCAACCTAGTTTCAGGGAAAATCTAAAGTTCATTAATAGATTTAGAAATTAACAAGGAAGATAATATTTAAATGGCAGCTGCTACCCTGAATCCTGTTCAGAGCACCACTAGACAGCATGACTAATTCCTAATTTTATCCCATTTGGTTGAGGACTCACCCAAAACAACTGAAGAATTAATTTTGAACACAAGTCCATTTAGGCAATATACCACAATGGAAATAGAAAATCATTTACTAAACCAATAACCATGTTTAGGAGTATACTGAATGTAGCCACGGACCCTGTCCAGCAGGGAAATTTGGTGGAAAACCCTAGTCTCGTAACAGCTGCCTAGGGATATAATCATAAAGGAAAAATGTTTTGCTCTTATACTCATTTTCTCATTAAATAAAAGACCACATCTATGAGGCCAAAATACAGAAAGATCAAAGCACCAAGGCTGAAGACAATAAAAGTTGTGGCACCTGCTATATAAACAGAGAACACGATGTTCCAACATTCTACACAGCACCAATTCCAATCCACGTCTTGATCCCAGCCCTTGCTTTCCCCAAATTCAGCATCCCAACTGGTGTACCCAGGTCATTATTGGGATTCAGCTTTCTGGGTCCTTTAATTTGCTGTATATGCACTCTACCCTAAATGTGATTAATTGCAAAAAATAATCTCTTCAAGAAAACTTCATAACAAAATACCAGATTCCCTATTAACAATCAGAGGATCAAGTTTAACAGGCCAAAACAGAAGACAAGAAGTCTGTCAGAACGTAGATAGATGGCACAGGATAGCTCTGACATCAGGGTCCCTGTGCTGGGCAAGAGAGTCACTGGCAAAAACCAAGGTGGAAGAGCTCTAAGTAACCAGTCAGATGGGAAATGGAATAGCTCTCCTCCTCAGTCATCCTCTGAACTCTCTGCAGACCGTTCATCTGTAGCCACTTTCCAATTTGTGCGTTTGTTTGTCCTCTCCTGTATTTCATTGTTAACGATAGGGATATGGACTTCTTTCTCTCTCTTTTTTCTTTTGGTTTTCTTAGTGTCTCTTTCCTCACCTTCCTCAGAACTGCTGGATGCAGAATCATCCGACTGGGAAGTGTCACTTTCTGCATCCAAGAATAAAGCAGATTTTTTGAGAGACTTTTTCCTGGATTTTTTCTTGCGCTTATGCGGTTGTTTCCTTTTCCTGGTACTAGAAGCCCCAGTTTCTTCCGAGAACTCACTTGAGGAATCTGCTGTTATATCTGTGGCTTCTTTTTTGCTTTTCTTCTGTTTTTTGTGTGACTTTTTTTTCTGCTTTTTTTTGTGAGATTTCTTTGACTTCTTGTGTTTGTGAGACTCGTGGGTAGATGGTTTTCCTTGGGGAGATGTTTTTTTTCCATTGGTGATATCTTGCTGATCACTACTAATAAAAAAGAGAAACTGCTTTACTATAGAAAATAAAAAGTGTGTTTATATTTTAGTATTCTGCATTCTAGACAGAAAGTTGGGGTTAGGGTCACCTGAGTGGTTTAGTCGGTTAAGCATCTGCCTTCA